TAACTCTGACACCAGGCAAATCATAATCATGGAGACTCATTTTGCTCACCCCTAAAGCAAGTACAACTTGCATCACTGGGACGAATCAAAAACTCGGAAGTATGCAAGTTCCAGAGACTTCCCAGTCTCCACCTCTGAAATCAAGCAAACCACATATCTAGATTGACAATGCTACTTGATTGGGTCTGACACACGTGATACACGTTTATTCACAAATAATTAAGAAATACAAATAAAAACTTTTCAGAAAAGGTGCATATATAGAAAAAGTTAGTAACTCCATTACCTATCTCCCTTTGGCTTTCTTTTCTGTACTGTTTTTCCTTTGGGTCGTCTCTCACTTCCTAAACAGGGACTCCCACCTGGACCTGTTACCCGTATTGATTCAAGGCCTTTGGAAGATTTCTTAAAAGTAAATTCCACTGGTTCTCCTTCTTTTAGGCTTCTAAATCCTTCCATGTAAAGCTTGCTCTGTGAATAGGAAAAATATTCTTAGTTACCATAGACTTAAAAAAACAAAATACTAAAGTCTGTCAAAACTAAAACAGGATTATATTAGCAAACCTGTTATACTTTCCCCTGCCATGTACAATTAATGTGAGATTTCCTAAATAAAGCTCTGTTATACAATTGCCACTTCAATCTTGCATAGGCTGGCATTCTAAATCTCTGCAGTTATGGAACATCAAGTTTCTTTCTCCTCAAATTGAGAAGAAAACCCCCAAATCTCAGATTAGGGCAGTCTTCCACAATCTAAAGAGCCGGGATTATAACTTCCAAAACTGATGCCTGTGTCAGCTGTAAAACTCTGGGAGGAATAGTCTCAGTGCATCTGGATGATACAGATATTGAAAAACTGATTCTGAAAAACTAAAGTAAAAGCATCATTACTTATTTTTCCTATTATTTTCCTTTTTTCCTCCAGGAAAAAAGCATGAGGATGATTTCATGCAATCATTCTATCATCCCTCTGTCCAACCTTTGGAACAACTGTGAAAAGGTTAGGTAGAGAAATACTAACTGCCACTATTTGGTCTCCCCGATTTTTACCCAGCCCTCTAACTGTAGTATCACAACACCTGTCATTGTTCTGTGTCAAGAAATGCCTTTTTGTAAATATATTTAGGTACTTTTTTATTTTTGCTCTTCATCTAAATGGGATACGCAAGCACATTTGTTCAAGAGGATTTCCAAAATGAAAGAGATCTAGAACAGGGATCCCCACCCTCTGGGCCATGGACCAGCACCAGGACGTGGCATGCCAGCAACTGGGCTGCACAAACAAGCAAAGCCCCATCTGCAAGATGCAGGCAGCCCACAAAACCACACACCCTCCGTTCCGCAGAAAAACTCTCTCCGCGGAACTAATCCCTGGTGCCCAAAAGGTTGGGGGCTGCTGATCTAGAAGACTCTTCTCTCTGTTCTGCAATGAATTTTATTTCCTTCTTTGCCTCCACAGTTGGTGGCACCCCTCCATCTGACAGATCTCAGAAGTTAAACAGGTTCAGCTATGGTGTGGATTTGTGTGGCAAAACACCTGGGCATTCCATAAATCTGGGCCAGTCTGGGAATGTTGAAAAAAATAAAATAAAACCCACACAAAAAGGTAACTTATATCTCCAGTACTGCCAAAAACCTTGCACAGACTGAATATCTATGTTTGAAAGAAGGCAAAGGAAAAGTGATAATTAAAAAAAAATGAAGGCAGAATATTACTGAAAATAAAATCATTTTATGTAACGCTTCCTGTTCCTAGAATTTTTTCCCCATTGCGGTTATACAGGTTGTCCTCCACAACTGAGCCCAAAATTTAAGTTGTTAAATAAAGCATTTGTTAAGTGAGCTTTGTCCCATTTTATGACCTTTTGTGCCACAGTTGTTAACTGCATCACTGTAGTTGTGAAGTTAGTAACACGGTTGTTAAGTGAATCCCCCTTGACCTTGCTTGTCGGAAGGTCACAAAAGCTGTTCAAATGATCCCAGGACACCACAACCGTCATAAATATGAACCAGTTGCCAAACATATGAATTTTGATCATGTGATTCTGAGGGATGCTGAAACCATCATAACTTTGAAAAAATAGTCATAAGTCACTTTTTTCAGTGCAACTTTGTAACTTTGAGCAGTCACTAAATATGTGTTAAGTCGAGGACCATCTGTAAACAGCTTCCACAGTAGATATCCTTACTAGGATTAGGACGTACAAAGAGCATCAACTATGAAATTCTAGCATTCTAGTCTGAATTCAGATATTTAAGAAAGCTCATTCTTTCTGTCTGAATAAAACCTATAATATAGTTCTTTAGCTCCTTAGATTTGAAAAATCATACCCTTTCCCTTTGCGATCTTTGAACAAAATATCATATAAAGAATCAGACACTCCCACAAACTGCCTTCCCTTATTATGAGGTGAACAATAGCCTTAGAAATAGAATAAAGTCACTTTGACAAACTGACATGTGAAAAAAAATATGAAAATATTGAAAGAGGCAGTATATCTCTTTGGGAAGATAAACCATTGAAATCAGGAAAGAAAAAGTTATAAATAGGTGAACTGGAAAGAATTAATATAGCCTGATTGCAGCAAGCAAAAAACATAATATTTATTTTCTGATATTACCCCCGAGATGAAATCTAGCAGGTTACAGGGTAAAGAATGGGACAATACAGTATGGTGAAACTGATGAGCAAATTCACTCACTTGCTTCCTTCAAAAAAAGTTCAAAGGATATTTAAATTTCTTACTTATTTCTCTGAATTCAAAATTTTGACAGAAATTCAGGGTCAGCTGAATTTATTCTCTGCACATGCTATCACAGTCAGAAGACATTTTTTCTTCTGCTTCCTTAAGATTACCTGCAAAAGGACTAAACTTACTTTACATTTATCTCCGCGGAAGTCAAAAATTGGCTTGAGAGATTACACAATCACACATACAGTACATCATTATACGCAAGGATTATCAAGCAAAAAAGCACTATTTGTATAAAAACCCAATGATGATTGAGTGCTTCTTAAACAGACAAGATGTATGACTGTAGTTCCAAGAGGGATTTTATATGTAGATAGACAAAGGTAGGTAGATATTGCTATATTGTGTGTATATGTATTAAAACATCAAAATTACTAAAAAAAAACATTCAAAATTAAAATTACTTTTCAACTTCAGAAAGGAAATAAACTGATTTTCTGCCTCACTACAGACAATAAAACTGCTAAAAAATGTAGGGGCAAGTTTAACTATAATGTGACAATGGCTACGTTTACATGCAATGGTAAAGTAAATTAATGGCTTACTATTGCATCAATAAATTACCAATTTAACAGGTCTTTGAACTTCATCTGATTCAAGACAACAGTGGCCTCAACAAAAAATATTTTAAATTATTTTGAAGTCTAAGTCATGGTTTAAAGGCTATAATCCTATGCACATTTGCTTGGAGGCAAGGCCCTCTCATCTTAGTTGCACTTCCTTCTGAATAAACAATGACTAGTATTTCACTGTAAATGCACAAATATCCCCCAAATAATTTGTTTTCTTAAAATTAAATGTTTTCAAGTTCATAATGTGGTGGTAATGCCCACTTTCTTTCATTATCCCAACATTTGCCAGCCAGTCATGATTGTGTCCCAAAGGTGCTTTTCCCAAAAGGCAACTGGACTTTCTTGGGTTTTTTTTTCCCTTTGAAAATGTTTTAGAATAATTCACCGACATGCTGGAAATGTAAAAAAGTACACGGAACATATTATCATTTATGGTGGACATGCCCAGTTGCAAAAAAATACTGGACTAAAATAAGAAGATGGATTGAAGAAATAATAGACCAACCTGTAGACTGGAAACCAGAGATCTTTTTGCTGGGTATTTTAAACAGAAAATATAGTAAAGAAATACGGTACTTAATTCTACATACAACAACGGCAGCAAGAATAGCATACGCACAGTTCTGGAANAGGAAGAAGTGATAAAGAAAATCCTGGACTGTGCTGAGATGGACAAATTAACAAAAGAGATAAAAGAAAAGGAAGACACAGAATACTATTTAATATGGAACAAGTGGTATGACTGGCTGGAGAGTAGAAATAAGAGAATAAATGTGGAAAGGTTAAAAGTGGAAAATGTGTGTATAATAATGTATGAAGGAAGAAAAATACAAATAAGAAATAATGGGGCAACAAGGACAAATACTCTAAAGAAGAATAAGGGGGGAAATGTAAATAATAGAAGATTACTGTTACGAAATTGCTGTTAAAATATATACTGTATATATATATATGTGTGTTATGTTTTGTTTTGTTGGTTTAAATAATAAAAATATAATTAAAATTAAAAAAAGAAAATGTTTTACGTCTCATCTAAGAAGCTTCAGTTCTAACTCTCTCCAAATCTCCTTCTTTCCTGCAAATGCCATCTAGCATTTTCTATCAAAAGGATCTTTTCCGCCAACTCTAGCAAGTCACTTGAATGTTTGCTTAAGAGAACTTCTTCTGTCAGGGGGTTCTTCAGCTTATTCTCCTCTTGGTATTTGTGTTTCACTCCTATTAGCTGGTGCCAACGGAAGAGAGAAAAGGCTCCAATAATGAGGCTTAATTCGGACTTTCTTTTGTGGGCTTCCAGTCAAAACTTAAGCACCTGCTGCTCTAGCATGGAAAGGAAAGTGGGGATTTTTCTTTGAAATGTCTTTGTACCCTATATGTCTCTCTTGTTTCTTATTCCACTGATCTGAAGCTAAATCATATTATTAAGTAAGCTTGCTTGGCAATTTCACAATATCGTTAATGCACATTTTGAACATAAAGCTCTTCAAAAGATGTATTGTCTTATGCTGTTCCATGATTTAAATTTGGGGAGAGCTTCTATGTCTCCACAAGAAATCAAGCACGTTCAGGATTCATGGCATCAGGAGCTGTGGCCTTGTTAACAGTCACACTCTGCTAGGTTCCTGTTTACTAACTCCATATTTGGATAGATACAGATTATCATGGGCTGCCCATTGCCACCCCACCCACCCCCGCCAAGGATTTAGTGTTTTCAAACAAGTACGCAAATACTGTAGTTGCCAGCCGGGTGAGTGAACTTATGATTCCACAAAGCTTAGCTGTGGAAATATTTCTCCAGCCAACATATAAGAACCCTCTTAATACAAACGTAATGAACCACCAAATCATTTGCATCACAAGGCATAGATTACATTTCTGAATCAAGCTCCTAAGAGTACAGCTCAATTTACCACACACAACTTAAGGAAGCATTCTGGGTCGTGTTTGAAAGCAACATGTCAGTCACTTTAATCGTAATACAGCCAAGACTTCAGCTCTGAACTGTTAGACGAAAAGAATTGTAAATGTTGTGTGGGATAGACCCTGGGGCTGGGATGGGAAGAACTGCTTCTGTTGCAAACTCTCCTTTGGTTTCTTCTGTAGTCCAAGTCTTTTCATGACCTTAACAAGAGAAAGCACTTGTGCATAT